GATAGAATTCTAACCTTAGGCTTGGCAAACCAAGTCATAGACTTGAATGTAGCTACCCTCCTCATAAGATCCCCACGGTCCCATGGCCTACATAGTGGAGCATGAGCCGGTGCAGGGGGAACTGACAAATGCCCCGAGGCCTCCACTCTACCACTTCTCGATTTTGGTTCCACCAATGCCAATGCAGAAGATGGATTTGCTCGCTTTTTGCCTCTTGATATTTGTACACTCGATGAACTGTTAGGAAAAAGAAAAAAACAATGAGCATTCTAAGGTTTAGCTAACAATTACAAACACAATTTCCATAAATCCTACACAAGAACAGTCATAAACGATTTATGCTAATTTTATTTAATAAAATGAATTAATATGATATCATCTGGCATTGAACGATAGCTAGCGACCATACGATTTCAATAGCACAATCCTAATTATGCTGAGAGATGAAACTTCTCCAATCAAACTCTTATAAGCAAGCATAGAAATCGATATCTTCATTGACGGAAAACGAGCAAGAAAATTAGGAGGAAAATTTGAAGAAAAAAAAAATTTACGAACCCGGAAGTGGAGCTTGGCGCAGATTTGGGAGCGAAAAAGAGCTTGTCCATGATGGAATGGAACCTCTTCTCAGAATCTTTCGACATTAGTTTTCTTTCTTCTTCGTTTTCCAGAAGAAATTGGAATATTGGAATATGAGAATAGCTTGGGGAAGTTTAGAGCTAATGACCTAATTAAGATATAAAAGCTGTGTGGTAGCGTATATATTGTACGTGCACAAAATTGTGAATCTCTCAAGCTGTTGCTGATGAATGTGAATCTCTCAAGCTAACACAAAATTGTTTCCTCCTCCTTTCTCTTTTGCTTGAAATCGGGTTCTAATTCTAGGCGCGGCTATGACGGCGTTTCGCAGTGAGGGTGATTAATAGATTTCACTTGTTTCTACAGCTCCAGCTCCTTGATATTCTTTATGGCGCGTTATAACAAGTAACCTTGCTTTTTTGGACGAAAGAATTGAAAATTGCATAGAATTCTAAAATAATTGAATTTAGATTTCCATCATTTTAATTTCTGGCAATTAAAGATTTTATTATTTGAATTTCTGTATATCGAATTTTGTAAATGACAGAATTTTACAAATGACACTATGAAAATTGTGAAATGACTACTATTTTAGTGGAAATTAAACTCGAGAATTTGATGCCCCAATTTTCACAATTTTTTCTATGAGTCATTTAGTAAATTCCGCGCTTAAGTTGCCAAACAATGAATTGTCAATTTTTCTCTTAAATTCCCGATTTTTAGCTAAATTCCGAGTTGTTTTCTCTCTTAAATGCCCAACTTTTAGCTAAATTATGAGTTGTTTTAGTAGAATTTTATAGAAAAAGAAAATAGATATATAAAAAGACAAAAGTTAAAATGCAAGCACTTTTTACCATCCCCATTTAATAATACAATGATATGAGAAATAATTTTTCCACGTGTCATTATATTTACAAGTAAGTTTTTTTGGGTATGTGGAGCTAGCTTTAGCTAGAATGTAAAGCCTGCTCCATGAAAATTGAGAGATCTCAAGACTAGAGTCATTCTATAGTGAGAGCCTTATGTAAGGTCCTTAGATGAGGTCATATCTCTCGGAAAGGCTATAATGAGGAGTTAAAGTGAGGAGGTTATTTGAGGAGGTCAATTCTCACCATCAACAAATGTAAAGAAATCATGGGACTTAAATATTTTAAATGTTTTGACGGTCGGATCGGTCTCCTCAAATAACCTCCTCACTTTAACTCCTCATTGTAGAAGCTCCCCATATCTCTTAATCATTGGATTAAACTAACCAATTTGATCTAACAGTTAAAAGATAAGGCATCATTTAAGGCCCTATCTCACTATAGAATTCTGCTAAAGAGTAATGATATTTGGGCCTCAAGGTTGACGACGTAGGCCCATACCTTATATACACAATATAAAGATTTGATCCAAACTAATGATGGATATTTGGGCCACGAGAGATTCAAGAGGCCCATCACCTTCGTTGGAGTAGAGATGACAAGCTAAACTAAAATAAAATGTACAGAATCAGTAGGCCTGCACTCTGCAGCTCTCTAACATATATAGATGGTGGACTATATTTTACACTGCACTACATATAATTATATATAATATATATAGCCTTTTCTTGTCAAGGGTGGTCCAAATATAATCAAAGTGGTTCTTTCTTGCATTGCAATTTGCATTCACTCTCATCCTTTTGTTTTCTTTCTGGGCAGTGGGCACCAGCCAGCTATCCTAGCAATAAGACTGTATGTGATCAAAGATGATAAATATGTTATGGTAAAGTATATATGATTAACTTAATTTAATAAAAAATGCACTTCAAATTTCTCCATCATTCAATTCAAATGTGTCTCATAAATGGGTCCCTTGGCTAGCTACAAAAAGCCTCCATCTCTCTACTTCTGTCAAGCTAAGCTCTAATCAGTCTCTGCTCTGCTGTGCAAACCAAGTTGCTGAAATTTCTGCCATAAATTCATAATCAATGTTTTAATCCCATTACGACACAAACTCCCAAGCTAGCTACTCGATGAGCTTCTTCTTTATCATGCTCACCTCTCTCTCCCTCTCTCTCTCTCTCTCTCTCTCCAATATCTTCCTCTTTCTATTTTCTATAAACAACTTTTGAAGTGTCCTCACCCTACTATACTAAGAGCATCTACAGTGAAGGGGTGTAAATTCGGGGGTGCAAAGCCACTTTTACATCCTCTTTACACCTCCGGGGGGTGTAAATATGTTTTTTGCTCCAATGGGGGTGTAAATTCGGGAGTGTAGCCGTGGGTCCCAGCCTTTTATGTTGATTTTTCTTCATTTTTCTTATCTTTTCTCGGGTGGGTTCCGCCTACAAGGGATGTAAAAATAGATGTAAATATAAATTTTATTTTACATCCCCATGGTGGTGATGTATATTTACATCCATTTACATCTCCCTATTGGAGATGATTCCGGTGACTTGGGGTGTATATTTAACATACACCCCCATATACACTCCCCACTGTGGATGCTCTAACAGCCTAATGCCATAATTATCTTACTTACTGACTTGCTTGCAGCCGCTCCTAGCTACTCTCTTGTGCATTGTGCCTTTGCATTAGCCATAATTAGCTAGCTAACCCCCAACTGCCACCACTTTTAATCTAACTCGTGCATCTTTCACACCATAATTTTGTTTAGATAGATATCGTATCTCTTAATCATTGGATTAAACTAACCAATTTGATCTAACAGTTAAAAGATAAGGCATCATTTAAGGCCCTATCTCACTATAGAATTCTGCTAAAGAGTAATGATATTTGGGCCTCAAGGTTGACGACGTAGGCCCATACCTTATATACACAATATAAAGATTTGATCCAAACTAATGATGGATATTTGGGCCACGAGAGATTCAAGAGGCCCATCACCTTCGTTGGAGTAGAGATGACAAGCTAAACTAAAATAAAATGTACAGAATCAGTAGGCCTGCACTCTGCAGCTCTCTAACATATATAGATGGTGGACTATATTTTACACTGCACTACATATAATTATATATAATATATATAGCCTTTTCTTGTCAAGGGTGGTCCAAATATAATCAAAGTGGTTCTTTCTTGCATTGCAATTTGCATTCACTCTCATCCTTTTGTTTTCTTTCTGGGCAGTGGGCACCAGCCAGCTATCCTAGCAATAAGACTGTATGTGATCAAAGATGATAAATATGTTATGGTAAAGTATATATGATTAACTTAATTTAATAAAAAATGCACTTCAAATTTCTCCATCATTCAATTCAAATGTGTCTCATAAATGGGTCCCTTGGCTAGCTACAAAAAGCCTCCATCTCTCTACTTCTGTCAAGCTAAGCTCTAATCAGTCTCTGCTCTGCTGTGCAAACCAAGTTGCTGAAATTTCTGCCATAAATTCATAATCAATGTTTTAATCCCATTACGACACAAACTCCCAAGCTAGCTACTCGATGAGCTTCTTCTTTATCATGCTCACCTCTCTCTCCCTCTCTCTCTCTCTCTCTCTCTCCAATATCTTCCTCTTTCTATTTTCTATAAACAACTTTTGAAGTGTCCTCACCCTACTATACTAAGAGCATCTACAGTGAAGGGGTGTAAATTCGGGGGTGCAAAGCCACTTTTACATCCTCTTTACACCTCCGGGGGGTGTAAATATGTTTTTTGCTCCAATGGGGGTGTAAATTCGGGAGTGTAGCCGTGGGTCCCAGCCTTTTATGTTGATTTTTCTTCATTTTTCTTATCTTTTCTCGGGTGGGTTCCGCCTACAAGGGATGTAAAAATAGATGTAAATATAAATTTTATTTTACATCCCCATGGTGGTGATGTATATTTACATCCATTTACATCTCCCTATTGGAGATGATTCCGGTGACTTGGGGTGTATATTTAACATACACCCCCATATACACTCCCCACTGTGGATGCTCTAACAGCCTAATGCCATAATTATCTTACTTACTGACTTGCTTGCAGCCGCTCCTAGCTACTCTCTTGTGCATTGTGCCTTTGCATTAGCCATAATTAGCTAGCTAACCCCCAACTGCCACCACTTTTAATCTAACTCGTGCATCTTTCACACCATAATTTTGTTTAGATAGATATCGTTAATGGTTGTTCTGCCAAGGCTGCCTTTCTCTTTTCACATCTACTTCAATTTATTATGGGCATTTACTTCTCTTTTCCTTTTATAGTCTGGGTTTTCAGGATTCTTCATTTCTATTTTGCTTCTCTTTCTTTTGTGTACCAGTTTTTTTTTCAAACAAGTTAGTTACCAGCCAGCCAGAGCAGAGCCAGGCCATATATTCTTTGTTTCTATTGGCAATGAAGAACTTCTCCACTATTGCAACTCAATATATTTATGTGCTATTCTTCTTGCACTGCTGCTGCTGCACCATGTTTGTTCTGGTTTTAGTGCAAGCAGCAGACCCTTCATCATCGGAAGCACCCATGCACAAAGCAGAGCAACAAGCTCTTTACTCTGCTGTTCAAGCCTTTGTGGGCAGCTGGTGGAACGGCTCAGATCTTTATCCTGACCCTTGTGGCTGGACCCCAATTCAGGTATTAATATCCCAATGATCAGTTGTAATTGTCATCAGCACTTGAATTTCCACAATTTTCAATCTGCGTTATTTGTGAAACTCAGAAATGTTTTAATGATCATGCGCAGGGAGTCTATTGTGATCTCTACAATGACTTCTGGTATGTTAGTGTTATAAACATCGGGCCGCTCTACGACAACTCTCTTCGGTGCACCACAAATATTGCTGAGTTTTCACACCACCTGTTCAACCTCAAGCACTTGAAGGTCCTCTCATTTTTCAGTTGCTTCCTCTCACCAAGCCAAAACCCTATAACAATTTCCACTTCAAACTGGGAAAAGCTCGCAAACAGATTAGAATCCTTGGAGTTTCGATCAAACCCCGGTCTCATTGGAACAGTTCCAAACACTTTTGGTTACCTCAGAAACCTGCAATCTCTAGTTCTGCTAGAAAATGGATTAGGAGGTAACTTGCCTGAGGAAATAGGCACTTTGGTCAACTTGAGGCGGCTTGTCCTTGCAGGAAACCAATTTTCAGGTCAGATTCCAGAAAGCTTTGGAGGGTTGAGTAAGCTCTTAATAATGGATGCAAGCAGAAATAAACTGTCTGGTTCATTGCCTTTGACTTTTGGAAGTTTGACTTCACTTCTAAAGCTGGACTTAAGCAACAATATGTTGGAGGGGAAGTTGCCTAGAGAGATTGGAAGGCTAAAAAATCTCACTCTTTTAGACCTTGGCAGTAACAAAATATCTGGTGGGTTAGCTCAGTCACTTGAAGAACTGGTTTCTGTAAAAGAAATGGTGATATCCAACAACCCAATAGGGGGTGGCTTGAAGAGCGTTGAGTGGCAAAATCTGCAAAGCTTGGAAATTTTGGACCTTTCAAACACATGCTTGACAGGGAAAATTCACAAGTCCATGGCAGAAATGAAAAGGCTTAGATTTTTAGGACTTAACAGCAACAATCTCTCAGGAAGAGTATCTCCAAGGCTGGCAGCTCTGCCTTGCATTGGTGCTCTTTACCTTTATGGCAACAATTTCACTGGAGAACTTGAATTCTCAGAATCCTTTTATAGGAGGATGGGAAGGCGCTTTGGAGCTTGGAACAACCCAAAACTTTGTTACAGGGCTGAAGTAAATTCAACAGGCCATGTTCCTTATGGGGTAAAATCATGTAAGCAAGAAACCACTATTAATATTTCTGGTAATGTTCCTTCAAATGCCAAGTTCAGTGAAGCAAATTGGGATCACAGTATCCAATTTGTGGCATCCTTGGGATTTTCAAGTTGTAATCTTGATGGGGTTCTGTGGGTTATTATTTTCCAAGGGATGTTGTTTATTCTTCTTCTTTGAAATGTAGCCTTATGGATGAAATTAATAACTGTTTCCAACACCATTTTTCCTCTTTATAGATTATCCTTTGTAAGTTTTCATTTACTGTCAACAAGAAGAACTAAAAACTGAGAGCCAAAAGAACAGCCCTTTTCACCAGTCACTTCTACCCTGAATCTGAAAATTGCTAGAGTGAAAAGCACTTCTAAAAAAAGAAAAAAGAAGGCTCAATTCAAAGTTTGTTAAAAATCAATCAACCTATAATATTGCAATCTTAAGCTAAGTAAAAGAATGGCCAGCATTTAGTCAAAGAGCTCAGCAGTCGTTCTCGTTCAGTACTTGATGAGGAAAGTTTCAGTTTCAGTTTCACCATGTGATATAACTTAGTACTTGGAATCTAACTGTACCCAATTCTGCTTCACCACCCAGTCATTCAGAGAACAGAGGCCACATTTTTTAACCATCTGACTTTTTGCAAATTATAATTAACAGGCCGCTGCTCAACACAGAAAGTTCATGATTTTGAGTTACTTTTACTACACGGTAAGAAACATTTTCCTGACTGTCCTCTCATCATCTCAGCTAGTTTCACTCAACAGCCTCATCCTCAGCTGCCATTTGAAAAACAGTTGTACCAAGTCAAAGATAGGCCTTGCTCAACGGTTACCTTCAACAAGCCCACCACCTCCACTTTTTACTCCTAACAATCCTCAGTTCGTTTTTTTCCCTTCAGTAACAAACTAATTCAACTGCAGTAGCCTCCCCTCTTTTTAAGTCCAACCCAATGCCCTCACTTCCTCATCAAACACTATCACTTTCTTCTTCCTAGCGCCAGAGATCAACCAAGCAGAGAGCTCCCTACACAATCCAAATTCTACTTCATGGAACCCTCCAAAGTAGTTCTCTTCTTTTTTCTTCTTTTTAGCTTCCAAGTCTTGTTTGTAACTTGCACGAAATTTGAAGTTGGAGGAAAGAATGGGTGGGAGGTCCCCAAATCAAAGAATGACCAACAAATGTATAACCAATGGGCATCAGATAACAGGTTCAAGGTCGATGACACTCTCCGTAAGTACTCCATCTATATCTACATACACACTTTTTAATTAAGCACCTAAACCCCTACCTCCGAATTACTTTTGTAAGGGGTTTGTAACTCAAGTGGTTGAGAACAATTACCCTTGCACCCGAGGTCCTGAATTCGAAGCCTCTCTCGTGCAATAGCGCTTTTTTTCTAATTAAGCTTGCCGCTTAACTTGAGTAATATTGCTTTGCTTTGTTTTTCATGGGCTTAGATTTCAACTACACCAAAGACTCGGTGCTGGTGGTGACCAAGGACGAGTACGAAAAATGCCATTCTGCTCATCCCATCTTCTTCTCCAACAATGGTGTGACTGTGTTCACATTGGACCGGCCTGGTTTGTTCTATTTCATTAGTGGGGTTTCTGGGCACTGCGAGAGAGGCCAGAAGATGATCATCAAAGTGTTGGAACCAGCAAGCCCACCTCAATCTGCTGACCAGAACGAGCAGAAGAATGATGCTGCAGTTGCAATGGCCACCATCTCTTCTGCAACTCTCATTTCCTGCATTATGTCATTTGTGGGGGTCCTTTTCTTCTGAATGCAGTGATTAGTGATGGTTACTATATTTTTCTTTGCTGTTTTTTCCCATACCCCTGATTCTTAATTAGGTTTTTTCTTTTAGTTTGTTTCCATTAATTGGGTCAGTTGAGATTAAAAGGAGTGTAGGACTGGAACTGATTGAGATTATGAAAGTATATTTGTTTCAAGTATGATATTTCTCTATTGAATTATTATTATTGTTATTATTTTATCTTCTTTTTTGGGGTACAGATTGGTTTTAACTCTTGAACAAATTATTTGCATCCATCTTAGTACAAACCATAAAGCAGAAAACTGTTTGTGGCCCTACCCATTGAATCTTTATTTACAATTTTGATTCAATATCAATATGAACTGGTTTTTCAATATCAATATCAATATCAATAAGATATTTGAACACATACAAAACATATGTTTCTAATATATAATAGCATGGCATTGGATCAGGACATTAACGGGATGTTATACTAACACCAGTCTTATAATGTGTTTTTGGCGCATTTTAACAAAGTTTCCCATGAAAGGAAAACCTTCACTATCCCAATTAAAAAAAAAGGTTGTTTTCTATACCAAAGGGAAACTTCTATGCCAACGGGTCCAGTGAAAAAGGGTTTTCACTTGCAGATCGGTGTATCGCTTATCGTCCTTTAAGCAGTGTTATGATAGCTTCATTTGCGGAGCAAATATATTGTCATACTGTGGTAGAGGATAGACTGAGCTTCGGGAAGTAAATATAGGAGCTGTTGGTCATGGTAATGGAAGCTGGTGTTTTTCCTGCCACCAATAATCCTCAATAGCAAGACCCCAAAGCTATATACATGAGATTTTTCAGAAAATATCCCGCCCATGGCAGGCATACTTCAGAGACATATAGCCGCACACACTGCACAGGAAATTCATTATCCACTAACTTATTATTATTCTTGATATAACATGCTAAAAAGCATATTACACAAGTTTAGTTGGGAAATAACAATTCTGATAATAGGAAAGAAATGAATCTTACAGAGTTCCCACAACCTTCTGAAATTTTTGGGCTCATCTTCTCATCCAACACCTTCAAACAGGAATCACGGTGGAGATAAACAATTCCTCTAGCAACACCTTGAATAATATTGAACCGTTTAGCCCAGTCAAGCACTGCTCTTCTCATTGCCATTAGAAATGAAATCAATAGTTCCCCTGAGTTGGGCATACTAGGATAGGAAGAGCTCAGACATTATCAAAGATATTGAAGAAAGATAGGTAACAATGAGAAATTGCAGCCAAACATAAAGGGTCAGTGAAACTAACCCAATAATATCTTATCCAAGTTGTTGTTTCGCATCAACTTCTCATCATCTTTAATGCAGCAACCCATGAGCTTTACAAGATTCTTGTGTTGGAGTTTGGAGATCAACAGAAACTCATTCTTCAACACTTCTATGCCTTGCCCTGACCTAATAGATAGCCTTTTTCGAAAAATCGGCCTTGGCGGCTGCTAGGCGCTAGGCGGCCGCCTAGGCGGGCCCTTTTTATTTATTTATATATATAGATTTTCTTTTCCTGACTTTAAAGAAAACCTACTGTCCCCTCTCTCTCTCTCTCTCTCTCAAAAACCTCCTGCAATATCCTTTGTATCAAGAGAGCTTTTTTTTTTTTTTTTCTGATTAAGCTTGTCATTTAACTTGGGTAATGTTATTTTGCTTTGTCTTACATGGACTTAGATTTCAACTACACCAAGGACTCGGTCATGGAGGTGACCAAGGACGAGTACGAAAAATGCCATTTTGCTCATTCCATCACCTTCTCCAACAATGGTGTAAGGGATGGGTTTTAAAGAGTATATGTGAGGCGTATAGCCGCGCGGCTATATTATTAAAATAAAAAATATATCTCAGGCGTATAACCGCGCGGCTGTACTATCTAAATAAATAAAAATATATATATATATATTTAAGCCGTATAGCCGGTCGGCTATTCTATTTAAATAACAAAATATCTAAGGAGTATAGCCGTTCGGCGATACGCTTTAATTAAAAAATATATTTAAAGATTATAGCCGATCGGCTATACTATTTAACTAAAAAATACATTCCAGACGTATAGCCGAACGGCTATACTATTTAAATAAAAAATATATTTAATACGTATAGCCGCGCGGATATACTCAATATACCTTTTTTTTTTGTGGGTATAATTTCCTTCTCTATTATTCTCTTTAAATATATATATTTTTAAATACAATTCCACCGCCACCTGCAGAGCTCAACAGCTCCGAAGAATCAAGCTCTCTCCTCTGCCACTGCTCAACAGCCCCAATTCCTTTGGTAACTACTAATTGCAATCAATTTTCTCTCTTTTTGCCTTTGTTTTGGTATGGTTTTGAAGTTTCGATCGTGCTGTCGACTAAGTGTTTGATGTTTTGACTGTGAAGGATTTCTGGACTTCTCACTAAAAGCTCAGCCTAGCAGAGTTAGGAACTTTTCTCACGTGGAAGGGAACTACGCGGTACATCTCTACATCCCAGGTAACCAAAATCTCTAATTCTCAGATCCATTAGCAAGTGCCATGACTTTGAGTAAATGAATACATAAGATATTTTGTAAGGAAAACAGAAAAAAAAACAGAATTTACCGATTGAAGTTTGAATTCAAATGGGCTCTTTTCCCCGGTTGTTCTTTATCTCTCTGTCAATTTGACAAGGTTACCAATGTATGCAAGTGTATCAAATATAAAATGGTTCACTGAATCCATTTCGACTTCCCTCTACTTTACGCATCTTCTCCCTGAACTTTGATGCACTGCTGTCTAAGTTCAAATTCACCTTGGATGGATTGGAGAAAAAGCCTATGTAATATTGGGCCTGATCCACCCAAAAAAAGGACCCGTGACCCGATTAATACAGAAATGAAAGAAAATCGCTCTCATTCTTTTGCCTAGACAGACAGAACTATCAACCAGCGAATTTCTCTTAAACCTGTGCGGCTGCGTTCTCTCTATCGCTCGACAAAACCCTCGCTCAATCTCATAATCTTGCCCAGGTCCCTACGTCTCCATCTCTCTCTCGCTGCTATTGCTCGTGGTATTTCACTTTTATTTTTTATTCTGATTTTTTTTGTTTAGATTTTCGGTCTGCTTGATTTTAGTGTTATTGTTCAAGTTTTGTAGAAATTAATTTTTCCAGATGATATTGACCTCAATTAGTTGTTTTTTTTAGAATCACAGTTGTCTATCGTTAGTGGATCTTGGTGGACTTTAGGGTTTTCCTTGTCCTCTCTGTTATTCTTTTTGTCAATTTTTTTTTTGTGGAAATGCTGTTTCCAAAAATTGCCTAAATTTTTTATGATTTCTCGTGCACGACCCACAACCATCATATGTTTTAGCTTTTGGCATGGCATTCTTTTTTCTTCTGACAAAAATGTTTATCTTATTTTTTGGCTTTGGACATATACTTTTCTTTGTTTCCATTGATAGGATTTTATTCATGTTCTTGTTCACCGTAAGTTTGATGTGGTTTTGCACTAAATGCTTATAGGTTTTTGTAGCAAATACTATTATGTGTTTCTTGATTTGCAGTTTTAGAAGAATTGTGTGTTAGTCCATTTGGCAGTACAGTGTCTGTTTTCAACTGAGTGATGCTCTGTTTATTAACAATCTGAGTAATTGGTGCAGTCTGTCTCTTGATACCACCCAGTTGTTAGCTGATTACTTATTTAAGCTGGAGGATCCAGTAAAAGCTGTCAAAATGTCGAGGAAGGGTTTGATGGAGCAAGACCTGAGTAAACTGGATGTAACAAAGTTACATCCATTGTTGCCTGAAGTTATATCTTGCAAGGTGACTATCAACATTGGTAATCTCAAATCCAATGCTCAAAATCGTTGAAAGATTATTTAGGTCATTATTATATTGATTTAACCATCAATTATTTTGCAGTAAAGGTTCTTGTGGGCTGTTTTGTGCATGCCTAATTTTGCAATTATTTGGGTTATCTGAGTTACCTCGCAGATACTATAGGTCATGTGGCTCATAGAAAGTCAGCAGTTGTAAAAGCAATATCTGGTGTTCAGGTGATTAGTAGTTTCCATCTTGCATTTGATGCTGCTTGCAGTTTTTCCTTCTTCTTTTTTCTTTCTGCGTGGTCATTTGATAATCAAGAAAGCATCTGTTTCCAATTCACGAGAGTGTAAAACAGTGACATCTGGTTATGACTTTTTGAGCTACCAATACACACTCACAGCTAAGGATTTTAGTATGATTTAGTATGATTTGCTGGAGTTCCTTTAATAACCTCGGGGTGTTTTAGCCTGATTCTGTTCTACTTCCCTTTAGAGTGCACATTGTGCTTCAAAATTCTTTCATTTCATTGTTCTTAACTTACTTTATATCCTAAAAGCATAAGCTGATTGGATATGGGCCCAATATTGTGTTTACAGATTGAATCCAACATTTCACACACTAACTACAATAAAATGAAGTTATGTGCATTATGACAGTAGCATGCTAGAAGAAGAGTGAGAGAGACAGAGAGGGCTGCCGCGATCGAGCTTCTAATTAATTAGCTAGCCATAGTTTGGCTATTGGTGCATGCATATGCACAATCTAACACATAAATAATAGAAAGAAAAGTACATGGAAATTGGGTTACAATAATCAAAAGCAAGAGGACGTAGGTAGTACAAACAAACAAGAGGACAGAGGCCCTGTAACAAAGTAGAAAGTCCTCAAAGCCAAAGGCATGAATATGGCAATACTCTATTCTCCTACCTGATGGGTCGCCTTAGAATGGGGAAAGCCAGAGTTGCTACTAAAAGAACCGAGACCATGTTAAAGACCAAAAATGGGGAAATCCAAAAGCTCCCTTTGTAGCAAGGCAGAGAAGAGTAAGACTGAATATAACAAAACCATGCAAGCTTGCAATGCAACAAGCGAATTGCTGAGGGAGGCAATGGAGCATGATGAGGAAGACTCTGATAAGTCCAAGTACGAGGTGAATAACGAAGAAGAAGAAGAAGAAAGGAAAGCTGGAAAAAAGGGAGAGAAGGAGAAGCAATTGGTGTAGGATTGCTTGGAAGATATGGAAGGAGAAGCAATGGAGCTCAAAGTAGGAGGTCAGGTGTGTATATATATATATATATATATATAAACTTTATCTAACTATAGTTGATGGAAAAATATAACGACTCTTCCATTCCATGGCTTAGGGAAGAAAGAGTGAGAGAGACAGAGAGAGGGCTGTCATGATCGATGGTGTAGGATTGCTTAGAAAACCACAAACTTCACTTTATGAATTCAAGCTCTTTGTCTCATGATATATAACATCCAACAACCACTCCACAACCTAAGCTAACAAACTTATTACAATTAAGCTAGCACCGAAGCACAATTCATTCCATAGGAATTAAAATCCAACCAAGTTTAAAATAACATCCAAGCAACAAATTAAGTGATAAAATTCAAGCATATACATAGCTAGATCTTACTTAGATAAGAGTAGTCCATAAGATCTTATTTATATGTTGTAGTCCATAAGATCCCTCCTTAGATCACCTCAAACAAACTTTCCATTCCTGCATTCCTAATTAAATTCAATAAAAACCAAACTAATTGTATTATTTAAGACCAAAGGAAAAAAGAGTGAAATTTGATTTATTCAATTTTTTTTTTGCTATTACACGAGATGCCTTGTGTGCCAATAAGGCACACTTGTCCTCAAAATGAATGTTGCAATTGGAGCACCTTTTATGTTTCTTGTGAAGAGCCTGTTGGTGTGCAACCGGACCAGACTTGTTGATAAAACTTGAAGTTTTGTCACAAAGCTTACAAACAAAGGTAGACATGTTCCAAAGCTCTAAAATTTACAAACATAACATGTCTACCTTTGTTTGTAAGCTTTGTGACAAAACTTCAAGTTTTATCAACAAGTCTGGTTTGGTTGCACACCAACAGGTTCTTCACAAGAAGCATAAAAGGTGCTCCAATTGCAACATTCATTTTGAGGACAAGTGTGCTTTATTGGTACACAAGCCATCAAAGGTAATAGCAAAAAAAATTGAATTTTCACTCTTTTTTCCTTTGGTCTTAAATAATACAATTAGTTTGGTTTTTATTGAATTTAATCCAAAGCTCTAAAATTTACAAACATAACATGTCTACCTTTGTTTGTAAGCTTTGTGACAAAACTTCAAGTTTTATCAACAAGTCTGGTTTGGTTGCACACCAACAGGTTCTTCACAAGAAGCATAAAAGGTGCTCCAATTGCAACATTCATTTTGAGGACAAGTGTGCTTTATTGGTACACAAGCCATCAAAGGTAATAGCAAAAAAAATTGAATTTTCACTCTTTTTTCCTTTGGTCTTAAATAATACAATTAGTTTGGTTTTTATTGAATTTAATTAGGGATGCAAGAATGGAAAGTTTGTTTGAGGTGATCTAAGAAGGGATCTTATGGACTACTACATATAAACAAGATCTTATGGACTACTCTTATCTAAGTAAGATCTAGCTATGTATATGTTTGAATTTTATGACTTAGTTTGTTGCTTGGATGTTATTTTAAACTTGGTTAGATTTTAATTCCTATGGAATGAATTGTGCTGGTGCTAGCTTAATTGTAATAAGTTTGTATGCTTAGGTTGTGGTTGTTGGATGTTATATATCACGAGACATAGAGCTTGAATTCATAAAGTGAAGCTTGTGGTTTTCTAAGCAATCCTACACCATCAATCGTGGCAGCCCTCTCTTTGTCTCTCTCACTCTTCTTCTACTTTGTTACATGGAATGGAGGCAGCCCTCTCTCTCACTTTTTCTTCCCTAAGCCATGGAATGGACGTCATTATCTTTTTCCATCAAGTATATGTTAGATAACGTTTATATATATGTACCTCCTACTTTGAGCTCCATTGCCTCCCTTAGCAATTTGCTTGTTGACTGTGAATGCAATGGTTGCGTACAAGTGACAGAATTGGTTATTTATCTAGATTTGATTTTGTCATGTTTTATAGGTCCACGATATTCTTATGGCTACTATACCATGCTTAATGGTGCCGCCATTATGGATGGAGCCTTATTTCTCAATGTTGCTAACGAAAGCTGTCCCCAACCACAAACTTCTGAGCATCTGGCTGCTGTTGAAATCATGCGTCTGCAACATATTATTATCCTTCAAAATAAAGTTGACCTGATTCAGGAGAATGTGGCCATCAATCAGCATGAGGCAATCCGGAAGTTTATTCAGGTAAGTTCCAATGAATAACAATATCTGAGCTATCAAATTGACTCATCGTCAAGAATTTAATAGTATAACATAGGAATTATGAATCCTTTTTTCTCGGGTTTTTTAGTTTCAGTCTGCTAATTTTATCATTCAACATTTTGTGTACCAGGAATCATAGCTGATAATGCACCAGTGGTGCCAATTTCTGCGCAGTTGAAGTATAATATTGATGTTGTTTGCGAGTGCATCGTCAAAAAGATCCCCATTCCAGAAAGGAACTTTATCTCACCTCCCAATATGATTGTTATCCGTTCTTTTGATGTCAATAAACCTGGGTTCGAGGTCAATGAGATAAGCGGTGGAGTGGCTGGTGGAAGCATCCTCAGGGTATGTTTTTATTGTTGAGTTTTGTCAAAAGTGTCGACAGTGCTTAAACCATATCATGTTCCAGTGTTTGACTCTTTGTTTTTTCTTTTTTGTTTTAAAACCTGCTTTGCTTGCCCAATACCATTCTACTTTCTTGGTGGAGTTTTGGGTTATGAAATGTGCATACCTGCTCTTGATTTGGACCTAAGAATTTGGTGTTTTTCGAAAGATTTATATTCCATAAATGCTACAGTTCACGAATACCACATTGTGTCTTTTGCAGGGTGTCTTGAAAATGAACCAATATATCGAGGTTTGTCCTGGGATTGTTGTTAAGGACGAGAGCAGAAACATAAAATGCACGCCAATATATTCTAGAATAGTTTCATTGTATGCTGAGCAAAAGGAGTTGCAATTTGCGGTTCCAGGAGGTCTCTCCCTGAAGTATTTGTTGAGCTTGAGGTAAATGACTGCAGCTGCAAGGCTCTTTATTTCTTTATTTTCTTAATTTCTTAAAGCTGGTGAAACTTCAGTAGATGATGTTTCCAAGGAAATTGAGCAAATGTGTGTTTATATGCATCCTCAGTTATGATCTCTTTATTTTCTTAGTTTCTGAAAGCTAATGAAACTTAAGTAAATGATGTTTCTAAGCAAATTGAGCAAATGCATGTTTATATGCATCCTCAATCATGAGCTCATTGACTGTTTTTTGGTTTAGTTTTCAGGATGTGGCACTGTTGTCTTCTTTTGGAATAATATTGGGTTTTTGTATTGTATTTATTCTTTTGAATCCTTTTACGTTTTCGCATCCCAAACTAGACAAATCTTTGTTGATCAGAAATGGATGTTAACAAATATTTGGTATACTTTCAACTTCATGACCTGCTTTGGTGCTGAAGATAAGTGCTCTATGATTTTGCAGGTGAACTTCTTCTTGTTGAGAAGGCTTCGGGGGGTCAGAACAAAGGGGTCGGAGAAGTAAGGAAAGGTCTCAAAGCTGGCCAAGGGTGAGATCCTGATGTTGATTATAGGATCCATGTCTACAGGGGCTAAGTTAATTGCTGTAAGGAATGATTTGGCAAAGCTGCAACTCACCTCTCCAGTTTGCACCAGCAGAGGAGAGAAAATTGCGCTCAGTCGGCGAGTTGAGAAGCATTGGCGTCCTATTGGGTGGGACACGATTCAAGCTGGAACTACCCCTTGATGTCCCACCCTCCCCAATTTGATTAGACTCCACAAATTGGTAAGACAGAAAGCAAGAAAACCACTAAGACAGCTAAAGAGTAGGGAAGATGTGGGAATGCAGGCAATTATTGGGAACCATTTTTGTCAGATGGAGGAGAAAACATTGTCGGGATAATTATGTTCTGTTTTGTTTCTTTGACTTTTGATAAAATCATGCTTTCATCTGCATTCTTATTCTTCTAGTTTTCGACCTGACTCATTCCAACAGATGAGGGAATGAAAGATGGTTATGTTATCCCTTTCAGAAAATATTGCGATCGCCAGCATCTTTAGGAGGTGTCTTATGCAGCAATTGTACTCACCTCAAAACCTAGATTGATTCCGTCTTGTTAACTTCATGGTGTCTTTCTACCATTTTATGCATTTCTATATGCATGATTTGGCATTACCATTTGAGAAACCCTCTGCAATCACGGGCGTTAGCAGTTCCATTTTCGTGTCATTTTTGCATCGACTGATTCTCTTTAAAATTGCCTCCATGGAGTGTCCAAGATAATGTGGGAACTATTGATTTTATTTCCATATAGGTACAGATTTAAAATTGATTTTTCTGTTCGTTTTTTCTTTCTTCTGTTCAAAGCCCCTATGCATGGGGCAAAGTGATTGGAACTGTCATTGCGGGTGGGGACCTAGTGGCTAGTATTGGTGGTCCGTCGTGAGAGAGAGAGAGAGAGGAGGCGACAGCTCAGACAGAGGAGAGAGAGGCAGTGAGGTTTTAAGAAAACCTAGGTTATCTTTAAAGTCAGTGAAAGAAAAATATATATATATATATAAAATTAGTTTCTTTACTTTTATTTTTTGGCCAACTTATTTAATATAATATATGTGATTAAGTAATATCTTAGCCTTTTCGAATTAGTTTAATTAGTAATTATGTATTAATTATTATTATTTTAGTGAATATTTAAATATGTTAATGATTTAATTATGCTGTGCAAAAACAAAAAAATAAATTTCTTAGTTTCGTTTTGGTGTCTATCCCATTAAAGTTCGTTGGGCTAGGTCTATCCATATAAAATTCACCGAGACATATCTAGGTTAGGCTCGGTAACATCACACTAACCCAAGATTGAGAGTGAAACCTAAATCGTAAAGCCCTAAGTCGACTTATGTGATTATCCAAGCCTAATCGAGTCCTAAGTGCCCTACAGTAAGTTTACAGTTAGGGTTCGAGCCTTGAGAATGGTTTTGGAACAAGTTCGGATAAGTTCGAAACCTATGATTTTTGGTTCGAGACTTGGATTTAGGGTTTAGAGACAAAAATTCCATTTTTAGAATACTAAAATAATTGTATAGAATTTTTAAATAATTGAAACTATTTATAAAATAACATTAAATTCAAAAATTATTGAAGATAATTAAATATAATTAATTAGTATTTGTTAAGTAATTTTTATGAAATTAATTAAAATATATAAATACTAATTCTTCACTAAATAAATAAAAGTAATTAAAACATAATATATTCCAAGAGTATAGCGGCACGGCTATACCTTTAAAATATTCCTTAAATATAATATTTTAACAGTATAATTTCACCGTTGTACTCCAAAAGTAAAATATTTTAAACGTATAGCCGTGCGGATACACTCTAAAAATATAATATCTTAAAAGTATAGCCGCACGGCTATACCCTGTAAATAACATACTAAGAAAACACCTCTCCCGACGAAGTTTCATCGGCATAGCTCTATGCTAGCAAATATTTGTCCGACCTCTCCAGACGAAAGTTACAGCTGCTGACGAACTTCATCGGGTGAGGACTATACGTCAAATTTCTCTGAGATAGATAGGTGTCGACGAAACTTCGTCGGGAGAGGTTTTTTTATTTTTCATTTTAAAATAATAAATTAGTTTCTTTACTTGTGTTTTTTGGCCAACTTCTTTAATTTATATATGTGATTATGTAATATTTTAGCCTTTTTGAATTAGTTTAATTAGTAATTTTGTATTAATTATTATTTCTTTTGGGAATATTTAAATATGTTATTGAATTAATTCTATTGTGCAAAAACGAAAAAATAAATTACTTATTTTCATTTGGGTGTCTATACTGTTAAAGTTAGTTGGGCTAGGTCTATCCATATAAAATTTGCCGAGATATGTCTAGGTTAGGTGCGGTTATGTCATACTAACCCAAGATTGAGAGCGAAACCTAAATCGTAATTATTTAAGATAATTAAATATAATTAATTCGTATTTATTGAGTAATTTTTATGAAATTAATTAAAATATTTAAACACCAATTCTTCATTAAATAAATAAAGGTAATTAAAACATAATATATTCAAAGAGTATAATACCTTTAAAATATTCTATTTACTATTCTATACTTTTAAATGGTATAGCCGGGTACACTATATTAATATAATATTTTAACAGTATGGCCGCACGGCTATACTCCAAAATAGAATATTTAGAATATTTTATAAGTTTCGCCGCCGGGCTATACTCCAAAATATTAAGATACTAGCCGAACGGCTATATCCCAAAAAAGAATATTTTAATGTATAGCCGCGAGGCTATACAGACGAAGTTTTGTCGATAAAGGTATATTCCAGCAAATATTTGTCAGATTAGACCTCTCCCAACGAAATTTCGTCGGTAGAGGTTTTTTTTTAATTTTAAAATATAAAATTAGTTTCTTTGCTTCTTTTTTTTTGCCAACTTTTTAAATTTAATATATGTAATTAAGTAATATCTTAGCCTTTTTGAATTACTTTAATTAGTAATTATGTATTAATTAATATTTCTTTAGTGAAAAAAATGAAAAAATAAATTACTTATTTTCGTTTGGGTGTCTTAATTAAATTTTCCCAGAGCCCAAGAGGCCTATGGCCCAAGGCCCAAGCCTTTGATTAATATAATCATTATTAATGAAAGCCAAATCCAAAGCTGAGCCCATTAGCCCAACTCTCCAATGTTAATTACACTTATGAAATCATCATAGTGCTTGTTTATAAACACCTTTAGGCCCCGTTTGGTTAATGAGAATGGAGACTTGAGAATGAGAAATCAATTGTTTTCCCATGTTTGGTAAGTCTAGGTATGAGAAGTCGTTGCCTGGCTCATGGAAAAGTAGGAGGGAAAGTGAAGCCATCCTCTTAACTTGGGTTTTGTTTTCCCTCCTTATGGGAAAGTTTGGGAAAATGAGCTAACATTAAATCCATATTTTTTATGACTATTTTATCCCCATTAGTAATTTAGAATTACAATATATCATTAAATGCATTCTTTTTTTATTTGAATTGAAAATTTATACAAACTTTGTTTTCCATTCCTACTCAAAACAAACATGGGAAATAAAATAAAGTGATATTTCCCGGTTACTTTCGCAGCATTACCAAACATGGGAAATGAATCTTCCATTCCCATTCATTGGGGAATGACATGAGAAATAATTTCCCCTCAAATTCATTCTATGAACCAAACGGGGTTTTATAGGAGTGGATTTTTCGATGTGGGATTTTCACAAAGGGCACCTCAAAAGATAACATATTATGGTCAAAGTTAAACCTTAGGAATTTCATATTATGCTGTCACTTTTAATGTAGTAGCTAGGAAACTTGTATCTCTTAGGGGTAAAGATGAAGAAGAAGAAAACAATCGACAAGAAAACCTAGGTTCTTGTTTTCTTTAAAGTCAGTGAATTTTTTTATTTTTAATTTTCTTTGTAGAATTTTCCTGAAAGAAAAAGGAATTTTGGGAAGATTTGTACTAGTGTATTACAATTACTTTCCTAATATGATTTGAACTAGGTTTTTACTATTTTCTTGTTAGCCAAGTTTTCTAGATTTATTAGGATTTTGAGTATACTATTTAAACAATCTAATGAAGTTGCATTTGTTAGATTTATTCATTCATATTATTAATCGAATTGAGAGATTTGCAGTTTCAGTCCTCTGATAAATTGGTGCAGTCTGTCAAGATTTTGAGTCGATCGTCAGTCTTGATACCATTACCATACCACCCAATTGTTAGCTGATTACTTAATTGAGCCGGAAGATCTCACAATGTCGTCGAGGAAGGATTTGATGGAGCAAGACCTGAGTAAACTGGATGTAACACAGTTACATCCACTCTCGCCTGAAGTTATATCTCGCCAGGCAACTATCAATATTAGTATTATTATCATTTATATTGATTTAATAACCATCAATTATATATTTTGCGGTAAAGTTTATTGTCAGTTAGTTTGTGTATGTCTAATTTTGCAATTATTTACCTCTCTCTCAGGTACTATAGGTCATGTGGCTCATGGAAAGTCAACAATTGTAAAAGCAGTATCTGGTGTTCAGGTGATTATTAGTTTCCATCTCGCATTTGATGCCGCTTGCAGTTTTTCCTTCTTCTATTTTTCTTCGTGGACATTAGAAAATCTGGCAAGCATGTGTTCCCACTCGTGACTAGAGGTGGGCATTAAATTTAGGGTATGAGTGTCGTAGCTTGCCAGGATTTTCTTGATATTAGCATACAGTGTCCTATGTAAATTAAAAACAATAATCCTGATTCCTGATGTTATGCAGACTGTTCGTTTTAAAAATGAGCTGGAATGCAACATTACTATGAAGCTTGGATTTGCCAATGCAAAAATATACAAGTGTGAAGAGGATCGGTGCCCGCGACCTATGAGCTACGCAAGTTTAATGTACAGTAATTGTATGTCTTGGATTACCGTTTTGCCATTTTAATTTGTTAACATGTTGTATTCATTTTCTAATTAGGGCATATGGAAGTGGAATGGAAGACAATCCTCTCTGTGATGTTCCTGGATTTGAGAACTGCAAGATGAAACTGTTGAGACACGTATCTTTCGTAGATTGTCCGATAATTTTTAAGTTTTTCAAGACTTGTGTGTGGTACATTTGGTCGTGTTGAAAAGTGAAATTAATTAACCATTTTTCACGCTTATTTCATACTCTGTTATATTTTTCTAGGGTCACGATATTCTTATGGCTACTATGCTTAATGGTGCTGCCATTATGGATGGAGCATTACTTCTCATAGCTGCTAATGAAAGTTGTCCTCAACCACAAACTGCTGAGCATCTGGCTGCTCTTGAAATTATGTAGGGATGAAATAAAGCTGAAAACTGAATTACATGCCTTCTCTCATCTGGATTTTAAAGCAGAAAACTGTTTGTGGCTCAACCCATTGAATCTTTATTTACAATTTTGATAGATGTCAATTTGATTCAATATCAATATGAACTGGTTTTTCAAATCCAATTAAATGGACCTTGAATTAGAACCATATTTGAAAGATAAAGTTTTGTTATTGCTGTGCTGGACAATCACAATTTGTCCAAAAATAACAAGGCAAGTGCAGTTGAACCCAAATTTTTTTTATCTTTGCTTTTAAATAATAGCATAAGATATTTGAACATATACAAAACATATGTTTCTAATATATAATAGCATGGCATTGGATCAGGACATTAACAGGATCTTATAATGTGTTTTTGGCGCATTATAACAAAGTTTCCCATGAAAGGAAAACCTTCACTATCCCAATTAAAAAAGAAGAAGTTGTTTTCTATACCAAAGGGAAAACTTCTATGCCAACGGTCCAGTGGAAAAGGATTTTCACTTGCAGATCGGTGTATCGCTTATTGTCCTTTAAGCAGTGTTATGGTAGCTTCATTTGCGGATTTGCGGAGCAAATATTGTCATACTGTGGTAGGGGATAGACTGAGCTTTGGAAAGTAAATATAGGAGCTGTTGGTCATGGTAATATAGAAGCTGGTACTTTCCTTGCCACCAATAATCTTCAATAGCAAGACCCCAAAGCTATATACATGAGAATTTTCAGAAAATATCCTGCCCCTTCAGAGACATATAGCCACACACTGCACAGGAAATTCATTATCCACTTACTCATTATTATTCCTGATATAACAGGCTAAAAAGCATATTACACAAGTTTAGTTGGGAAATAATAACAATTCTGGTAGTAGGAAAGAAATGATTCTTACAGAGTTCCCACAACCTTCTGACTCTGAGTGTTTGCTAGATTCTGTGTCTCTTGAAAGATACGTGCCAACCAAAATTTGAAATTTTTGGGCTCATCTTCTCATCCAACACCTTCAAACAGGAATCATGGTGGAGCAAATCAAGTCCTCTAGCAACACCTTGAATAATATTGAACCGTTTAGCCCAGTCAAGCACTGCTCTTCTCATTGCCATTAGAAATGAAATCAATAGTTCCCCTGAGTTGGGCAAACTAGGATAGGAAGAGCACAGAAATTATCAAGGATATTGAAGAAAGATAGGTAACAATGAGAATTGCAGCCAAACATAAAGGGTCAGTAAAACTAACCCAATAATATCATATCCAAGCGTTTCGTTTCGCATCAACTTCTCATCATCTTTAATACAGCAACCCAATAATATCACATCCATGAGCTTTACAAGATTCTTGTGTTGGACTTTGGATATCAATAGAAACTCATACTTCAACACTTCTATGCCTTGCCCTGACCTAATAGATAGTCTTTTTCGAAAAATCGGCCTAGGCGGCGGCTAGGCGCTAGGCGGCTCGCTAGGCGGGCCCTATTTTTGTATATAAATTTTCTTTTCCTGACTCTAAAGAAAACCTACTGTCGTCTCCTTCTCTCTCTCTCTCTCTCACAAAAACCTACTGTCGTCTCCTTCTCTCTCTCTCTCTCTCACAAAAACCTACTGTCGTCTCCTTCTCTCTCTCTCTCTCACAAAAACCTCCTGCAATAACCTTTTTATCAAAAGAGCTTTTTTTTCTAATTAAGCTTGCCACTTAACTTGGGTAACGTTATTTTGCTTTGTTTTACACGGACTTAGATTTCAACTACACCAAAGACTCGGTGATGGCGGAGATCAAGGACGAGTACGAAAAATGCCATTCTGCTCATTCCATCTTCTTCTGCAACAATGGTGTAAGGGGTGGGTAGCGTATAGCCGTTCGGCTATACTATTTAAATATATATATATATAGTATAGCCGGCCGGCTTTACTATTTAAATAACAAATAAATCCAAGGCGTATCGCCGATCGGCTATACTATATTAATTAAAAATATATCTAAAGCGTATAGCCGTGCGGCTATATTATTTGACTAAAAATTATATTGAAGGAGTATAGGCGTTCGGCTATATTACTTAACCCAAAAAATACAATTAAAGAGTATAGCCGTTCGGCTATATGATTTGACTAAAAAATTATATTGAAGGAGTATAGGCGTTCGGCTATATTATTTAACCCAAAAAATACGTTTAAAGAATATAGCCGCCCGGCTATACTATATATTATATATTTAAGGAGTATAGCCGCACGGCTATAAGCTTTTTGTGTGTATAATTTCCTTCCCCATTATACTCTTTAACTATATATATTTTTTTATATAATTCCACCGCCACCACCAGAGCTCAACAGCTCCGAAGAATCAAGCTCTCCTCTGTCACTGCTCAACAGCCCCAATTCCTTTGGTAACTACTAATTCCAATCAATTTTCTCTCTTTTTGCCTTGTTTTGGAATGGTTTTGAACTTTCGATCGTGCTGTCGACTAAGTGATTGATGTTTTGACTGTGAAGCATTTCTGGACTTCTCACCAAAAGCTCAGCCCAGCAGAGTTGGGAACTTTCCTCATGTGGAAGCTAACTGTGCGGTGCATGTCTACATCCCAGGTAACCAAATTCTCTAATTCTCAGATCCATTAGCAAATGCCTTGACTTTGAGCTTTGGGCCTTTAGGCCCTGGATAAATTGTATACTTGCAGTTTATATACGACCAGCACCAAAGAAAGAGATGGCCATTTTTTAACAAGCAATTTCAGATCCATTAGCAAATGCCATGACTTTGAGTAAATGAATACATAAGATATTTTGTATGGAAAACAGAAAAAAATGCAGAATTTACCGAATAAAGAAATGGAGAATGAAGAAATGGATCTTTTCCCCGGTTGTTCTTTATCTCTGTCAATTTGACAAGGTTACCAATGTATGCAACTTTATCAAATATAAAATGGTACACTAATCCTCAATTCCTGAATGAACAATACCGGTAACGAACTCATGATCAAAAATATCAATTTTGATTTACAAAATAGGTAACTAGGGCAGATGACTTGCATTTACACCATCAAACAAAATTGCGTTTTACAGTCTCAATTTCAGCTACAAAACTTCAGCAGTAAATGAATACATAAGATACTGTTGCAAGAAAAACAGAAAAAAAGCATAATTTACTGCACACACAAAGGCTCCTCTAATGCCTTACAAATTGTCGATTGTCATCTCCACCTTTTTGCCTACCATAAGGGTTGGACCAGAACTTGTACTTTCAATTGATAGGTGAAACGCATGTATCGAGTGTTTTTATACGAAGTAAATGTACCAAGTGATCTAAAATACAGTTTGGTGTTCTATGCTATAAAACACAGACAAGGATATACACTGAACAAAAACAAATAGTCACAAGCTGTCGTGAAAACCGAACAAGGATGAGTACCTGCCGATCAAGGTGGTGAACATTAAAGATGTCCAAAGTAGTTTTCTTCTTTTTCTTCTTTCTGCCTTCCAAGTGTTGTTTATAACTTGTACCAAATTTGAAGTTGGAGGCAAGAATGGGTGGGAGGTCCCCAAATCAAAGAATGACCAACAAATGTATAACCAATGGGCATCAGATAACAGGTTCAAGGTCAATGACACTCTCCGTAAGTACTCCCTCTGTATCTACATACACTCTTTAATTAAGCACCTAAACCCTACCTCCGAATTACTTTTGTAAAGGGGTTTGTAACTCAAGCAGTTGAGAAAAATTACCCTTGCACCCGAGGTCCTGAATTCGAAGCCTCTCTCGCGCAATATCACTTGTATCAAAAAAGCTTCTTCTTTTTTGTACCTTTTTTTTTTCTCTCTAATTAAGCTTGCCTCTTACTTGGGTAATATTGTTTTGCTTTGTTTTTCATGGACTTAGATTTCAACTACACCAAAGACTCGGTGCTGGTGGTGACCAAGGACGAGTACGAAAAATGCCATTCTGCTCATCCCATCTTCTTCTCCAACAATGGTGTGACTGTGTTCACATTGGAACGGCCTGGTTTGTTCTATTTCATTAGTGGGGTTTCTGGGCACTGCGAGAGAGGCCAGAAGATGATCATCAAAGTGTTGGAACCAGCAAGCCCACCCCAATCTGCTGACCAGAACGAGCAGAAGAATGATGCTGCAGTTGCAATGGCCACCATCTCTTCTGCAACTCTCATTTCCTGCATTATGTCATTTGTGGGGGTCCTTTTCTTCTGAATGCTGTGATCAGTGATGGTTACTATATTCTTCTTTGCTGTTTTTTCCCATACCCCTGATTCTTAATTAGGTTTTTTCTTTAGTTTGTTTCCATTAATTGGGTCAGTTGAGATTAAAAGGAGTGTAGGACTGGAACTGATTGAGATTATGAAAGTAAATTTGTTTCAAGTGTGATATTTCTCTATTGAATTATTATTATTGTTATTATTTATCTTCTTCTTTTTTTGGTACAGATTGGTTTTTAACTCTTGAACAAATTATTTGCATCCATCTTAGTAAAAACCATAAACGAGATAACTCTCGTATACTAATAATGTAGAGATGAAATAAAGCTGAAAACTGAATGCCTTCTCTCATTCGGGTTTTAAAGCTGAAAACTGTGTGTGGTTCTACCCATTGAATCTTTATTAACCTTTTTGATAGATGTCAATTTGGTTTTTCAAATCCAATTAAATGGACCTTGAATTAGAACCAAATTTGAAGGATGAAGTTTTGTTATTGCTGTCACATATTATGTGTTGGACAATCACAATTTGTCGAAAAATAACAAGGCAAGTGCAGTTGAACCCAAAACTTTTTTCCTTTAACGGGATCAGGACATTAACGGGATGTTATACTAACACCAGTCTTATAATGTGTTTTTGTTTTTGGTGCATTTTGACAAAGTTTCCCGTGAAGAGAAAACCTTCATTCACTATCCCAATTAAAAAAAAACAAAAGGGTTGATTTCTATACCAAAGGGAAAACTTATATGCCAACGGGTCTAGTGGAAAAGGGTTTTCACTTGCAGACCGGTGTATCACTTATCATCCTTTAAGCAGTGTTATGGTAGCTTCGTTTGCGGAGCAAATATTGTCATACTGTGGTAGAGGATCAAAGACAGCTTTGGAAAGTAAATATAGGAGCTGTTGGTCATGGTAATAGAAGCTGGTATTTTTCCTGCCACCAATAATCTTCAATAGCAAGACCCCAAAGCTATATGCATGAGATTTTTCTGAAAATATCCGCCCATAGCAGGCATACTCCAGAGACATATAGCTGCACACTGCACAGGAAATTTATTATCCACTAACTCATTATTATTCCTGGTATAACATGCTAAAAAGCATATTACACAAGTTAAGTTGGGAAATAATAACAATTCTGGTAGTAGGAAAGAAATGATTCTTACAGAGTTCCCACAACCTTCTGACTCTGAGTGTTTGCTAGATTCTGTGTCCCTTGGAAGATACGTGCCAACCAAAATTCAAATTTTGGGCTCATCTTCTCATCCAACACCTTCAAACAGGAATCATGGTGGAGATAAACAAGTCCTCTAGCAACACCTTGAATAATATTGAACCGTTTAGCCCAGTCAAGCACTGCTCTTCTCATTGCCATTAGAAATGAAATCAATAGTTCCCATGAATTGGGCATACAAGGATAGGAAGAGCTCAGACATTATCAAGGATAGTGAAGAAAGATAGGTAACAACGAGAAATTGCAGCCAAACATAAAGGGCCAGAGAAACTAACCCAATAATATCATATCCAAGCTTTTGTTTGGCATCAACTTCTCATCATCTTTAATGCAGCAACCCATGAGCTTTACAAGATTCTTGTGTTGGACTTTGGAGATCAACAGAAACTCATTCTTCAACACTTCTATGCCTTGCCCTGGCCTAATAGATGGTCTTTTTCGAAAAATCGGCCTAGGCGGTGGCTAGGCGCTAGGCGGGCCCTATTTTTATTATATAGATTTTCTTTTCCTGACTTTCAAGAAAATCTACTGTCGTCTCCTTCTCTCTCTCTCTCTCTCTCTCTCTCTCTCTCTCTCTCTCTCTCTCAAGAACCTCCTGCAATATCCTTTGTATCAAAAGAGCTTTTTTTCCTAATTAAGCTTGACACTTAACTTGGGTAATGTTATTTTGCTTTGTTTTACACGGACTTAGATGTCAACTACACCAAAGACTCGGTGATGGCGGAGACCAAGGACGAGTACGAAAAATGCCATTCTGCTCATTCCATCTTCTTCTCCAACAATGGTGCAAAGGGTTGGGAAAATATATCTAAACAGTATAGCCGGTCTTAGCCGACCGGCTATACCATTTAAATAAAAGAATTTAAGACGTCTAGCCGCTCGGCGATACTATTTAAATAAGATATATATATATAGCGTATAGCCGGACGGCTTTACTATTTAAATAAAAAATATATCCAAGGCGTATAGATTGTTTAAATAAAAAATATATCTAAAGAGGATATTATATTTCAGGCGTATAGCCGTCCGGCGATACTATTTAGCTGAAAAATATATTGAAAGCATATAGCCGGTCGGCTATACTATTTAAATTAAAATATATATTCAAGGCGTATAGCCGTGCGGCGATACTCTTTAAGTAAAAAAATTATATTTATTAATTATAGCCGGACGGCTATACGCTTTGAATATACTTTTTGGGTTTGTATAATTTCCTTCCCTATTATACTCTTTAAATATATAATTCCACTGTCACCACCAGAGCTCAACAGCTCCGAAGAATCAAGCTCTCTGTCACTGCTCAACAGCTCCAATCCCCTTGGTAACTACTAATTCCAATCAATTTTCTCTCTTTTTGCCTTGTTTTGGAATGGTTTTGAACTTTCGATCGTGCTATCGACCAAGTGTTTGATGTTTTGACTGTATAGGATTTCTGGACTTCTCACCAAAAGCTTAGCCCAGCAGAGTTAGGAACTTTCCTCACGTGGAAGGGAACCCGCGGTACATGTCTACATCCCAGGTAACCAAATTCTCTAATTCTCAGATCCATTAGCAAATGCCTTGACTTTGAGCTTTGAGCCTTCGGACCCTGGATTAATTGTATACTTGCAGTTTATATACCACCAGCACCAAGGAAAGAGATGGCCATTTTTTAACAAGCAATTTCAGATCCATTAGCAAATGCCATGACTTTGAGTAAATGAATACATGATATATTTTGCAAGGAAAACAGAGAAAAAGCAGAATTTAATGAATTAAGAAATGGAGAAAGAAGAAAAGGCCTGATTTTTTTGAATTCAAATGGGCTCTTTTTCCCGGTTGTTCTTTATATCTCTGTCAATTTGACAAGGTTACCAATGTATGCAACTGTATCAAATATAAAATGGTACACTAAGTAGGTAACTAGGGCGGATGACTTGCATTTTCGCCATCAATCAAAATTGCATTTTACAGTCTCAATTTCAGCTACAAAACTTCAGCAGTAAATGAATACATAAGATATTGTTGCAAGGAAAACAGATAAAAAAAGCATAATTTACTGCACACACGAAGGCTCCTCTAATGCCTTACAAATTGTCGATTGTCATCACCAACTTTTTGTCTACCATAAGGATTGCTCTCACTGAATCCATTTCGACTTCCCTCTACTTTACGCATCTTCTTCCTGAACTTTGATGCACTGCTGTCTAAGTTCAAATTCACCTTGGGTGGATTAGAAAAGCAAAAGGAAGCTGCAACCGCCTGTCCAATTCCAGCCACTTTGCAATTAAATCGGATGCCACAAAACATATTGAAGCGTAATAAATCCAAGGATTTTTAGAGAAATTCTAATTTCAGCACTAGTTCATATTATTGGAAGAAATATGGTTTTTTTTTTTTTTGGAAAAGGAGGAAGACATATGTAAATTACCAAAAGGTGATGCTATTTAGGGTTGGACCAGAACTTTTACTTTCAATTGATAGGTGAAACGCATGTATCGAGTGTTTTTACCAAGTGATCTAAAATACAGTGTGGTGTTCTATGCTATAAAACACAGACAAGGAGATACACTGAACAAAAACAAATAGTCACAAGCTGTTGTGAAAACCAAACAAGGATGAATACCTGCAGATCAAGGCGGTGAACATTAAAGATGTCCTTCATGGAGTGTGAATTATATGATAATAAATAAGATGTATACGCCTCTTTTGCTGATTTGCGCAGATAGTAGTTGCCTTCAACCATTTTCTCCTGCAGCAGTCAAAGCAATACATAAGTTTCCTTCGAACCAGTTACTGTATAAAAGTAGATAACAACTGAACACCAACTAACAGGAAATTACCAGCTGTGACTGCACATTTTTCAGCTGCTTCTCATTAAATACATGCTCTTTAACAGGGACTTTTGCAGCCTGAAAACAAAATAAACAAAAGATATTGGCGAGATATTCAATAAAGCTTGCTTTAAATACAGACACCATTCTGTAAAGCATGGTACTTTATCCTTTTCTTTTCTTTTTTGGGGGACGGGGGTCGGCTTGCTTCTGTTTATTTCTACAACTTACGAAAAGCATACCTTCAAATAGCGTATAAATTGCAACTCTTCAGGAATGAGGAAAAGTAGTGCCTTTCCTTTTCCACCTTCCCCTCGAGCTGTTCGACCAACCCTGTGGATATATTCCTGCAAGCAGATATCCCATTATACTCTGTATTCGGCATGAATGAAGAAGAATCACAAGATGCCAAAAGTACTAGAAATATATTAGTAAAGAAGAAGTATTAGACACCTTGGGTTCATCCGGAGGATCAAACTGCAAAATCCAGTCCTACAATAAAAGAAAAGGAAAAAAATAAGCATAAGATTACCATCAGCATTTGCTTATTGCAGATATTGCTAATATAATTAAGAAGAATACCTACATAATTTAATGTTAAAACGGGATAAAACAATGGCAGGATATTAGCAGCAACTGAATTCCCATTAAGTAATCATAATAGGTTCTTAAAAATAACTTATGAGAAAAAGGAAGGAAGGATTATAGCTCAAGAATGTTGCCATTCTGATTAAATACATTGGGATATCTATTGTCGTAGATAAAATCATTGAATGGTAGAAAAACTAATAAGAACAATAAATTTCTGAAGTTTGAGCCTACGTCAAAACGAAAAAGGAGCAACATCGGTACAAAGTAAGATTCCTTTCTCTGCTTTGCAGAAATCAAAAAAGGTAGTTGTCCTCTTCTGCTGCTTTTGCTTTCCATGAATATCAAAGCAATCCACATTAACGTATTTAAGCAGTTCGGAGTGGAATTTGACGGAGTTACAAGAAGAGAAGAAGACCATCACTTTCTTAGAAAGATTCTTCGTCAGGAAAGAATATAGAAGAAGAAATCTCTTGGCACTAGGCACAATACAATAACCTTGCTGCAGCCCTTCATTGGTGACCTATGTTGCACAAAACCTTGTCAGATTCTAATGATTAGGGCTAAATCACAAGAAATGTATATAATATGTATGTATAGAATACGAAGTAGGCTTATATTCATAATAGATATCAACACAAAGCAAATGTCAAATAAGGAATGCATAAAACCATCTGGATTCCTACCTTAGTTCTCCCCTCATCCACATCAACATAGATAGGTTTCTGATCTTTCCGAAACGACAACTTAACAAGATCTTCAACCTATAGGTTTAACAGGAAAAGTTTTATCAGGGCAAGGCATTCATGTAACATATGGGCGTACGTGTGATGCATATGAATTTAAGCTAAACCATTTAAAAACAATGCACAAAGAGATTGACTACTATGAGATGTGGATATAATGCACTAACCTTCTTAGTTTGGGTTGCTGAAAATAAAGCTGTTTGCCTATCCTGCACGTCCATTAGCAATTCAATCAGCCAAAGAATACTACCAGGTAAAAAACAATTCTAAATTGCAACTAAACCCATAAAATTCATTTATCCAGGCTGAAAGATAGCCATACACAATTAACCAAACTACAAGCTTCTATTAAAAGAAAACCAGAAACATATGTTGCAAGCAGGATGCATCTATGGTTTGCAGCCTTTTGTAGCACAAGAGGTAGAAAAGTAAATCAAATAATTTACCTTCGGTAGATACTTAATAATCTGTTTCATTTCTTCCTCAAAGTTTGCTTCCAATAACCTGTCAGCTTCATCAATCATGAGGCACTGCAAGTCCACGAGAACAATGAAACTAAAGATTGTCAGATGTTGTGATGTTTCTAGTCTCTAACAAACAACACAAGTTGCAGTAGGATCCCAAACTACAACTCAGTATTTCATTAAAAGGATGAATAACTACAGTAAAATACTCCAAAGTCGAGGAAGCAATTATAGAATTTTCTTTAAATCAGAAAGCCACCCGTAGCAATTAGCACCACTTCACAAAATAACCAGTTAAAAATATTTTTGAAACAACCACAACAATATTACAGAAGAATATATACATGGCACCTTCAAGTTCTTATATATGAATCCCTTGGTATTCTGAAGATGGTCAAGAAGTCGACCAGGGGTTGCAACCAATAAATTTACTCCTTTTACAATACGTTCTGCTTCTCCTCTCCTGGCTGAACCTCCGATAACCAAGCCCAGAGTCTGTGAGTGATACTTTAGAAGGTCCTTTG